CAACTGGGGGGTCAGAGTCCTAGGGACAGGAGCAAGCCAACCATGGAGGAATGATCCAGGAAGAGCAGCGGTCTGTTGAGGGAGACAGGGGATTAGACCCTTTAAGGCCCTCCCTCCAGATCCAACCTCAAGGTAGGTGGTCTTGGCCCGTGAGGCCCAGGAAGTGGGAGCTGGTGGAGGTCTGACCTAGCGGCAGGCACCTGAGCGGAGGCAGGAGCTGACAGTTCTAGGTGGGTCTGGTTTGGGAACAACTTCCAGAGCTCTGAAGAAGGCCTGAGTCTGGGAAGCCAGAGAATGAGAAGCGGAGGCCTGGATCTGGGCTGACTCAGTATTCTCAGAAAAGGCCTGTGCCTGGAATGTGCTGTCCACCCCCAGTGGGCCCAGGGGCCTCTGGCTGACCCAGAAGTCTGGCGCTCCTGGGCTCCAGCAGCCTCCGCTCGCTGGTGGCTCTGATCGTGCCCAGCCAGGCCGCGAGGTCCTGCACGGCAGGACCTGGGGCTTCCCGCGAGCAGACGTCAAGATCACCCGGCTTCCGTGGCCTCACTGGCCTCCAGCAGGGCACGTTGCGGAATGAGCCTGGCCTTCCAGCACTGGGTGTGAGAGGGAGGAAGCCTGTTTGCACTCTGAACATCCCAGAGACGGGGAGGTCCGGGCTCCCTGTGCCCTGGCACCCTCCAGCTCACCTCCTGTTCCCTCTCCGCTGTCTCCTAGCACTCACTAATTATGGGCTTTGAAAGTGGTTCTTGGGAGGAGCCGCACGGGCTTGCAGCCGTTGCCTTGACACCGCTGTGTGGGGGCACCAGGCGGCTGCTCCACGCTGGTCCTGATGGGGACGAAGGCTTCCGGAGAGCAGGTGGCTCTCTCACGTTCACCTCACCCAGGGACAACCCTGCCTCAGTGTGCCCAGCCCTGTGCTGGCCACGCTTCAGAATCTCAGAGCTGAGGCCGCAGCGGTCCTGGCAAAAGCCTTCATCCCAAGGAGCCACGCCACCAGCCCCGTGACCAGCCCCTGCATCCGGCCCCTCAGCCGCCACCCCACCGGGGACATTCTCCCTCCACGTTTAGTGTTTGACTTCCAGTCCTTTCCACCCCAACTCTCGGTCTCACGCGAGGGAACCTCCCTCAGCCGCCAAACTCCCAGTTCCTCAACTGACTCATTTTCCACGAGCTCCTTCTCCACCCACCTCAGCCACACGCAGAGCTGGTCACAGCCTTGATCGTGCACCACCCACATGTCTTCCGTGTTCACAAACTCTGAAATTCCTTCATCTGGTCACAATCTTTCATTATTTCATCTTTCCCTCTGCCTTACGACCCCTAATCCTGTTTTTGGTCATACCCAGGCCCTCCACCCCCTCGCCCCCTCAGCCTTCTCCCGGCCAATCACCCCTGCACTGGCTACATTCTCCTCCATCCCCCATCTTGAGCCCTTGGTGGACCACCTCAGTCTACACTGTCCTCTTCACTGGAATCCTTTGTCTCCTTATCCTATCATTGAGCTTACCCTAACAGGTCTCAGTCTTGCATCACCCCCTTATCTACTGCCTTCTAACTTGTTCATAGGCTTCTGAACAGAACATGAAATGATCACAAAGCCACGTTGACTGGGTCCACTCCAAACTTATGTTACACAACCTCAACTGGGCTCTCGCTGCTGCACGGCGATCCTTTTACTTTTCTAACGGACTCACCACAGCGGCTCTTCCAAACCTCCTCATCCCTCCTCAAGCCTCCTAGGGCTCCCCTTCCTCCTACCCTCTCAGCTGAGAGCCTGCCTCATACTTCACTGACAAAATGGAGACCATTCACAGAAAGCTCCCTCCTCCCCTCCTCTTCATCTCCCATCACCCAGATGCCTTTGGCCACCATCTCCTCCTTCCCCCATCTCACAGGAACAGGTGGCCCTTTCTGCTCGCCAAGGCCACCCCCTCTGCCTGCGCAAGTGATCCCAGGTCTTCCTTCCTCCTTCAGCAGACCGTCCCCTCCATCATCCTTCCCTCTCACTTGGCTTCAGTCTGTCCACTGGCTGCCTTCCGACTGCCTGCAAACACACCTGCATCTCCCCATCCTCAAAACCCCTTCAACTCAATCCATCGCTCTCACCAACCAGCACCCAGCTCACTCCTTTGGACCCATCCACCCTCACTGCCTATAGTCCTATGTTCTGTACCGCCTCCTTGTGTGGCTAGCGCCTTCCCTCTAATGTGGCGGCTTTCTCCCATCTATACCTTGTTTGCATATCGTCTCCTCGGTTAGACTGTGAGCTCCTGGGGGGCCCGGGGGTCTTTTTATTATTTGTATCTAT